ACCCCATCCAACCCTCAATACTTGCACCGGAACAGTCTCAATCTCACCAACAAATTGCCCAATCTATGACAAAGAATGGCCAGATTGTGGAGAAGATCTACTTGCCTGTCTCACAGACTACGATGCAATATCAGTACAATGCTATTCCATCCCCCCCAGAGGTCATCGAAAGAAACCCACTAACATAGCCAAAATTACCTTCCGTAGACATGACCTTCCCTTTAACGTCTACATAGGAGGAGAATCCCTCCCTGTTCGTCCATACCAACCTCCTCCACGTCAGTGCCAAAATTGTTGGCGTCTAGGACACCCAGCCAAACACTGCCGTTCCACAGCCAGATGCCCATTATGTGCCCAACCTGGCCATACCCGATCTAACTGCTCTGCACAATCACGCACATGTGCCAACTGTGGCGGCCCCCATAATGTATTTTATAGGGGCTGTCCCACCTACAAATTTGAATCTGAGGTAGCAACTCTCAGATTCAAACTCGGACTCACACTGCGTGAAGCCAGACAGGAAGCACGTCGACGTGGATTCTCACATACTCCTTACTCCAGTAATACTGCTCATCCTAACACTTCTCCTAAACCCACCCCTCCTACATCTAACCCCCCCACTAACCCCACCTACCTTCCCCAGTCAAACTCTTTTGCCATCCTAAATCCAGAAACTCCAATCTCTACTACAGATACTCCAATCACCACTACAACCCCAACACCTTCCCCTCTCCCTCCTCGCACTCCCCGTAACAGACAGAACAAACGTTCCACCCCCTCTTCCCCTACCACACAATCACCCCCACCATCCTTTGCCCGTACTCTTGAGACAGCAGTCCTCTCTTCCCCCCCTCACAAAAAATCCTTTATCCCCCAAAACTCCCCAACCAACTCCACAGAAGAAACTATTGAAAATATTCAAGATTACTTAATGAAAACCGACACTCAACCTACAACTCCTGCTCCTTCCACACTCCAAGTAATTGCTGATATCCATCCTCCTCCTAACGATATCCCCCCTACACCCTACCCTCCTACCCCCTCCCAATACAGCCCATCCCCCCTGACCCCAACCCTGCCCACATTAACTCTCCCACCATCCCCTCTATCCCTTCCACTCCCTCCTGGATACACACGTGAATCCCTTATGTCACAAGTATCCCCTTCCTCAGACCCTCCATCTCCTAATACCCCTCCTGATAGAACACCAACTCCCACACCTCTCCCATCTCAAACCTCTCAGTCCTTATCCCACCCTCTAGCTGCTTCCCCTTCAAATTCTCCAACATGTACTACAATCTATATCACTAAATCAACGAAAGTATAACTATCCTTCATTGGAATATTCGCGGTTTCCGCTCCCACAGACCTGACCATCATATCCTTTCCTCTTATAACCCATCTATTGTATGCCTTCAAGAAACCTTTCTTATGCATACCCTTTATCTAATATAACACCCGACCTTAACCCTTTCACTCACTAATTCCTTTGCCCAGCTTAGACAACTAATCACTAACTCAACCACCCTTCACTAACATTAACTATAGTGCTACATGACCTTAGATGTCTAGCACATTTATCTTGCTTTTAACCATTAACCATTAACGGCGTATTCAAAATACAGCGTTAGGGTGGGGCTTGAGGATGAAGCCTTCACGCATAGCATTATGATAAAGTATTGTGGCGATCACGACCAGTTGTGTAAGATGCCAAAGGCAGAGCGCTACAAGATAGTATGGTAGTGAAAAGGGTAAGGAAGGGATAGCAAATGAAGTACGACAGGGATTTGTAAAGGGGATAGGGATTATGGGTATAGGGTATAGGTTTATTACATCAACAGACAGTTTGCTGGGTGCCCAGTCATGTTGGAATCCCCGGCAATGAACAGGCAGATACACTAGCACGCCACGCTGCTATGTCCACATCATACCAACCACGCTTCTCACGTATCCCAGCCACGGATTATTACCCACACTTTAAGACCTTCTTGTATAAACGATGGCAATCTTTCTGGTCAAGCCTCCACACTAATAAATTACATTCTGTAAAACTATCAATCTCCTCCTGGTCAGCTCCATTTCATCGGAACAGACGTTGGGAGACTGCTCTCGCCCGCTTACGCATTGGCCACACCCGTCTAACACACTCCTATCTGATGTCACAATCTGATCCACCCCTATGTTCATTATGTAATGTTCCCCTTTCAATCGTACACATCCTATTGTCGTGTCCACGTTTTGAAGCAGCCCGTACCTCTGCTTTCCCCACCTATCCTCCCTTCACCGACCTCCCAACCTATCAGACATCCTTACAGAATCCCACACTTTCTGCATCAACAACCTGTTCTCTTTCCTCAAACGCATACATATCCTTTATCTAATCTAACACCCGACCTTAACCCTTTAACTCACCAATTCCTTTGCCCAGCCTAGACAACTAATCACTAACTCAACCACCTATCACTAACATTAATTATAGTGCTACATGACCTTAGATGTCTAGCACATTTATCTTGCTTTTAACCATTAACCATTAACCATCAACAGACAGTATGTCTAAGGAAGGTAAAGTAACACTATGAGGGAAAACTGCAAAAGAGCCACTATGAAACGATCAACGGATATTATGGATAGTAACGGTAGTTTGAGAAGTAGGAAAGTCACCCAGAGAATTAGATAAGGGAAAAGGGTGGTGAAGTACCAGGGAGAATGTCAGGAGGGGAAGGATCAGGAGAAGGTCGACATAAGGGAGTCAGTCACGTGAGCTTCCAGGTTGGAGTGGTAAGGATAATGGGGAAAGAGGGAATGGTGGTGCATATGGAGGAGGAGAGGATGGGATGCTTTGGGGGAGAGTAGGGGGAAGAGGGGTATGGGAATTTGAGGATGATGGATGGATGAATATCGGGAAATACTTTGGGTGTAGAGCGCATAGGAATAAAGGACTTGAAGGGTGGATGAGTGAGTGGAGCGTTCTCTTGGGTTATGGTTAGGATGTTTTGAATGTCAAGAGTTTCTGGAGGGGAGTTGGGTGAGAAGGTCTGAAAAATAGAGGTTTTCTTGTGAGGAGGACGAAAAAAAGGGGATAGATGTCCGAAGAGCAGAGGAAGAGGTAGGTGTAGTAGATGTCAAGACAACAACGAACAAGGGACTGGGTGGGGAGAGGTTGTAATCAAGGAAAGTTAAAAACGCCGAAACCCTACCGAACCACATACAAAAAAAAAAAAAGCTGCTGGAATTGCCTATAAAAAGTAAAAAAAATCACAAGAACCAAGACCGGCTCGCTCTAACAACGCTAAAACTCCTACCAATGCCGGAATCCACACTAAAATATAACCAATTCATTCCTTTAAAAAATGAGTTACCTCCTCAAGACGCCCACGCCCTTCAAATCCTCTTCAGCCGCGCTCCCGTCAGGCCCGTCTTTCCTGTGCGCGAGACGAGTTACAACGTGTCGAGGAAGTCCTTGTGAGAGTTCAGTCAGCTCGCTCGAACGTCCGCTCTTAACTTATTTATACAATATACGGCATCTGTAGAGGAAATCTTTTAAATAAAAATAAACACACACACACACACACACACACACACACACACACACACACACACACACACACACACACACACACACACACACACACACACACACACACACACACACACACACCAACTTTTACAACCTTAAATTCACGAGGGTGCGGTCGGTTACCTTTTCAAACGTTAGACCTTTTCCCGTTTCCAGGTAGCTCAGGTTAGGGCTGAATGTTTCCCTTCGTTATTTTTGTTCCTAAAAAGAACATATTTTGTATTCCTTTAATGCATTGCACTGCAGTCGTTGTGATATGGCTAAAACGAACAAAATTAATTACAAGCGACTGACCAGGAATGTATTAAGGTAAAATTTAATAAGGACAAGTTTTGTATAATCGTGTAGGCAACATCACGTAGATGTATTTTTTTTAACTATTAATTTGTGTGTATGTATGTAATCATGTGTGCTCATGTGTACACACACATAAATATGAATACACACACACACACACACACACACACACACACACACACACACACACACACACACACACACACACACACACATTTATATACACACACGCACATAGACACACATGTATATACATATGCATATATATATATACATAAATACATATATATCTATTTATCTTTGTCTATCTATCTGTATGTCTATCTATCTTTCTGTCTATCTATTTATCTATCTATCTGTATATATACATATATATTTATATTATCTCTCTCTCTCTCTCTCTCTGTATATGTATATGTATGTGTATATATATATATATATATATATATATGTGTGTGTGTGTGTGTGTGTGTATGTATGTATGTATATATATATATATGTATATATATATGTTTATGTAAGTCTGTATATTTATGCATGGACATGTATATATTTATGCATGCATGTATATATGTATGTATGCATGTATATACCTATGTATATACTTAAGTATGCATATATGTATGTATATATATATGTATGCATGTATTTACGTATTTGTAATAATCACATCATGCGATAAGACCAATTTCGACAGAAGCAGAGTGGCGCAGTGGAAGCGTGCTGGGCCCATAACCCAGAGGTCCGTGGATCGAAACCACGCTCTGCTACAATATTTTTTTCCTTTTTTTCTTTCTTCTATCTGAAGCCAATGCTAGTATTTAAAGAGAGGAATGAACGAAAACCAGATCAGTTCTATACTTATATATGCAAGTTAAAAGAAAATCCTGTTTTCCTTCCTTATCGCGAAGAATTTAGGCTACTGTATGACAGGATTTCCCGTTTAAAACTGTACGTTGATTGTAAATGTTATGTTAAAGTAAAGCATACTGTGGATGTATAGTATCTAACAATTCCTCCCCATTACAATACCTGGGGAATCACACTCGTGCTCCTTCATATTGAAATATAACGTAGAATGTCACCAGTCGGTTATAGTCCATAGAACTGAGGCAAAGTTTGTATGATAGTGAAAGTAAGTTCAGTAACATATATCAAACACGCTGTTATATCTGCTCAGTGAAATAGTAAACAGATGTTCCATTGTGTATGTCTTATCACATTACAAGTTGCAAAGGCGATGATAATGAAAGAGTACAATTTACATAGAAATGATAAGCAGCTGATAAACTAGAATAAAAAATAAGAAAAAGTCAGAGCGTAAGAGTTTGGATGACGCAAGAGGGATCCAGTGCTTGCGTCACCAATACCTCGGCGGAATCCTTTGTTAAAAAGAACTTTACTAACTCTATTAAATACAGATAATTTATCATATATGCCCTGTTTTAGAGCACTGTTAACACATACACCACAACTCTTTTAGGTCAAGTCCTCATAAGAATAAATCCACTAGTGCTACGAGTTCGAGAACCTTGGCCTGAAACGGCTTAAAGGTGATCTCTCAGTCAGACATTCCGCGCGTAGTTCGTTATTGGTTGCTACTGCATCTATTGACATATATTTGAAAGAAAATATTTTAATAATTGAATTAAAACGAAAAAAAAGGATTGACATGGTTATAATGTATGGTTTGTGTCTTGTATTGATCTCACTTTAACGTCTCAGAAATACAGAAAGGCATGAGGCACACTCGCTGGGAGCGTCGGCCATTTGCTCAGGCAGAATGATCACTCCAATATGTCCACATATGGACACCTATAAATGTATATTTGTGTGTGTGTGAGAGTGTGAGTGTGCGTGTATGTGTGAATAAACGTGTATATATACACGTTTACACACACATGTATCTCTATACATACATACATACACACACACACACACACACACATATATATATATATATATATATATATATATATATATATATATATATATATGTATATACATACAGTATGTATATATCATATACACATATATATACAGTATATATACACATATATATGTATATATGTGTGTATTATATTATATAAATTATGATATAATTTGCACTGAAACATGAGTAGATAATTGCAGCTTTTGACAAAATATATGACTTTAATGACTACCTGATCAACCGTAGGGTAGAACTTATTACTACATGATTAAGCTAAATCATGTTATCGTTATGCAGACCACGTGGCTGTAAGTGAATCTGCACAGATGTTGAATGTGCAAAACTCAGTTACATTTTTACGTCTTGAAACGAAAAGAAACTAAGCTGAACTGACCATCTCCCTGGTGAAGTGTTTATCTAGTGCTTGTAGTTATTAGGGAGAACGATTAATTACTGGCAGAGAATGGTTATGAAAAGAAAGTTTGGGTATTGAGAACGAACGTAATTTGTATCCACGAAAGTAAGGAAAAAAGTCGTGATAAATTGTCCGCATCAGCTTTTCCATGTTTAATACTCAGTGTTCAGCAAGACTGAAAAAAAGTTGATATGTTGCAAACCATGGTTTCGATCCAGGGTTCTCATGTTTGAAAATCTACCTCGATTCCACTACGCCACTCACCTGTTTAACTCTTTTAGTGAATATGTTTACTGAATCTAATACGCAGTTTGTCCTTTGGTTTTTAAAAACCTTAGAAAGACTCGTGAATATTTCAATTTAGTTTCAAGAAAAAACATCTCAAGTAAATTACAAAGAATTTACTGAAAACTCAACTACGGTCTTGAACACGCTCTTGTCCAGCCCAAGAAGTAAAGAAAACGTTTTCCTTATAATATTTCGTTAACACATTTCTTTAATGAGTTAAAAAAAACATCATGTCATTTTGTAATGTTTGCTGACGACATCAGTCTATAAAACCGATGTCTTAAAAGATTGGAAATACCGCAAAAAAGTTACCTTCAAACCTATTTCACATTTTTGCACTTTGTTTGTGTTATGTTGACACAGATCTTAATATGTACAGTTGCTGTTTGAACGTTATCTTTTGTCCGTACCACATTTTTAGTCCTACATAGTGTAGCTTACTAATGTGTTTTTTTTTTCTGTTATCCGAACCATGTTGTATGTCCTTCATACTTTCACATTTACCGCAGTTCAAAAGCAGGTAAACGAAAATATTGCAAAAAAAATACCGTAATGCCTCTGAAATCATAAAAAAAAAAATATGGGCAGTAATTTTTCATACTGCAATATTTGCTGTAACACATAATGTAACTGAATTGTAACGTAGGGCGAATATGCTTTCAGTTGTACTAAAATTTCATACGTTTATAAAAATACGACACCTGATAGCTATAGTTATACCGGTTTCTTTTCAGGTTGTCAACTTCAGGCGTTTAAGAGCGTAGAATGAATTTATTTTAAAGAATACATTAGCAAGAAGTAAAGAAGCGGACAAGTACTATAATGAAAGGAAACGAAAAGAAACAGAACAGTTAAACAAAATAATCACTTTTATTATTATCATTAGATGTAACTTTTACTTTCATTTCCTGTTTTTTTCTCTTAATGCGATTTACCAGATGTTCATTAACCCAGTTTATTGACATTTCATACGTATATATCATGTATAATGCAAAATCAAAGATGCACGTGTGTTAAAAGATTTAAGATGACGTAACGGATGAAACCGTTCATTTGTTTTTTATATTATTTTTTGCACTTTTCCGCATTTTACCATTGTTTTTGTTTTATGCATTAAACTCATGATTCGAATTTGCATTTTTCGCTGTGGCGTGTTCATTCTTGACTGGGCATTTATTTCATATATTGGCGTATGTAATTTTATAAAGAATGGTTAGCAAGAAAGATTAGCAAGGTGAGGAAAGTCGGCAATTTCGCAGAAATTTAAGTTCTCTGTACATACTAAACATTATGTAAATTATCAGATAACTTAGTAATTAAGCCTCTCATATTTGCAATGGACACCCTGCCCCCGACTCTGTCTCTCTCTTTCATATATGTATATGTGTGTATGTATGCGCGCGCGCGCGCGTGTGTTGTATGCGTGCGTGTGTGTGTGTGTGTGTGTGTGTGTGTGTGTGTGTGTGTGTGTGTGTGTGTGTGTGTGTGTGTGTGTGTGTGTGTGTGTGTGTGTGTGTGTGTGCGCAGGCGTATCTATCTAGCAATATGTCTATATATACATACTCTCTATTGGTATCACGGAACCCTGAAGTGTTAATTCTGTAGTTGAAAAATGTCTGAAAGTCTAAAAAGAATAGATGATTTCAATTAACCTCCGCAAAGTCTGGTGTACGAATATCACACAGCATAATATTCTAGTATCTCCTGAAACTTATGTGTTATTAACAAATATAAGCAATAGTATCCATTCCTTACATGTGATTTACCTGCAACAAGTCCTTTAAAATTAAGGTCTAAAGTAAAAAAAGAAGAAACAAAAACAAAAAAAGGAAAAAACAGGAAAACAAAAATAGATTAACACACATGCAAGATAGATATATAGATTCTCTCTTGCCAACTAGAAAAAGAAAACACTCGACACAATTTTTTTATAATTAGGATAAATACCTTTCAGATGTAAGTCAAGCAAATTAAAACGTAGCTCAAACAAGGGGTAACCATGTACTTTATTTCATTTCATTATGTCATTTCTGGCGACCGAAGTGAGCACAATCATTTTCTGCGAGCTCCCCCTGAAAAAAATAGTTATTTTAGGAGTATTTTTAAGCTACGATCAGAGCTATAAAGGTGTGATTTAGGAGAAAATATTCGTAGGTGTGTGGCCCTTGGGGTGGGAGGGGGATAGCCAGACCTTGAGGGGGGAGGGGGGGGGACGCAGCTTCCCAAAATAATTGATT